TATATATATATATATATATATATATATATATATATATATATACATACATATATACATACATACATACATACACACACACCACACACACATACATATACATATATATATACATATATATACATATACATACACATACACACACACACACACGTTACTCAGCAACCTTTACTCCGACACAAAAGGCTTAAACTACTTAACCTACCTTCATTCCATTAAGGGGCAGCCAGAAAAACCACTAACACAAGAACACAAATTTATTTCACCCTAGATACCAGATACTTAGGGAAACTAGGTGGCAATCAACTGTGGAGCAAGAAATCTAGCTGGGTTCAAGCTCAGTTGGACCCAGCGCCAAAAATGAAACCAGTCCATGAATTACACTGGAAGTGCATATGCATACAACCTTATGAGAAGATTAGCATGCACCGTTTCATGCATCAGGACTCAAAGTTTTGATCATGATAAACCAACACCTGCAATTCACTGCTCTAAGAACGCAAAGTCGTCGAACAGAAGGACATGAGACAGACAGCTTTAGATAATTTTTTTATTCTGAAAAGTTCCACCTTAAGTATCTCACTTCTTCTTGTCCACATCCTGCTCGGCGGCCTCCTTTGCTCTCTTGGCACGAATGCCAAAAAGACGTGCATTGGCACGGGCCATGCGCAGGCTGGCAAATGCCTTGAAGTTCTTCTCGTCTTCTGAGATCACCCGGGCCTTCTCCTTCTTGTACACCTGCAGAGGAAATGACTGGTCAACAGCTAATCCACAAGAGAGACCATATTCGAAGGCCTCCAGCCACCTACGCTCGTTTAACCAAGCATACTTAAGAGGTATACATTTGAGCAGCAGGTTCAGGAAAGAGAAATCAGCTCCAAATTATGATACGTACACTCCTGATGGGCATGACAGGTCCAGTGAGCTGTGTAGCCATCTTGAGCTCTTCGGCCTAGAGAGAACACACAAGGTCAGAAATTACTAAGAAAGCACACACTTCTATAAAATTTGTAAGGACTTTAGCAATCTTGCCATTCTGGATTCAACAAACCTTAAGTCACCACATTAAAGGGAATTGGGAAATTTGGAAACTTTGCTCAGAAATAAAAACAAGCTGAATTAGAAATGGAAAATATTTAAATGGTCAAAAGTGACAGCAGTGGAGGGCAATATCTGGAGATTTAACTTACAGAGCTGTCTCCCTTCCTGGGAGCAGAGGCCTTCTTGGGGAAGAGGATGAGTTTGGAACGATACTCCTTCAGCCTCTGGACGTTAACCTGCAGCGACTCTGTAGACTTGTTGCGGCGACGAGGGTCCACGGCAATGCCAATGGTGCGCGCCACCTTCTTGTGAATGCCGGCGGCCTGGGGGAGCACAAAAGGACCAGCAATCAGGCATTCGGATGTGGAAGGCGAGATCCAGAGCCGCACACGTGCTTCACACCAACACTTCATGCTCTTCTATGCACCAGGAAAGGCTTCAAGCATTCCATTGTTAACCTCACAATTGTTTAGATGTTTGTAGGAACAACTGAAAATTTAACTGCAGTCATCAGAAAAAGGGTTCAGCATTATCATCAAAATGGTACAGAGATTCCGGAGAAAGTGTCATCATCTGACTGCCAAAAAGCCCTTGACAACAGTAACCAAGAACAACTGAACACTCCAGTTTAAGACAAGCTGCAGGTTGTTCTTACCTTCAGCTCCTCCAGAGTGAACCCCCGTCCAGCACGGACCTTGGTGTTATATCTGATGGTGGGACACCTGACAGCAGGGCGCAGGGGACCAGCGACAGGCCGAGGAGCGATACGGCGAGCCTTTGCCTGGCGGGCCTTTCGCCTGGGGACGTGTACAGCAAGTTACTGGCTGAAAACCCTTCATGGTGCGATATGCAGCTCGCACACATGCAGGGCCATGAGGGGCTTACCTGCGGATTTTCCTGGCAGGCTGGTTGAACCATGTGCGAACCCTTCTCTGCCAATCTTTGTGGAAATGGGGGTTCAAGATCATGCCATTTCGGCTGGGAGCCATGGCTACTTATTTCCCTGTTAAAAGTGTAAAAACAGAACAAATTTGTGATACTGCATACCACATACAAACAATCAACTGAAAAATCATCTTCAGTAACTAGTGAACGAAGAGTTCCGGAAATGTTTACCAGACGGTAGGGCGACTAGGAAAGTAAGATCAGCACCACCAGGTCATAAGCTGATTAACCACTACATCACTCAGCTACGATACTTAAGCAATAGCAGATCCGTTTTTTCTTCGCCTGAAGAATTATGAGATGCCAAATGAATGCAACGTGTACCGTAGAACTGCCAAACTCGCAGGCCAACCATTCTTCGGTAAGAAAACTACTGCCGGGTTATTCAACAAAACGGACAACAGCAATATGAAAATAAAGCTCCGTGCTCAAGACGATAATGTATATCCTCAAACTACCGTTAAACAATGCAGTTTCGTGCCGGCAGCAGAACGTTAGCGTCAGTAAAATGTGCACTACCAGTAATCATGGAAGGGAAAGGCATTCCAACACTGTAACCCTCGTAAGACATCTTTTTGATGGCAGATTTTCACAATACTGCACACATTCAACTTGTGTCATACTATTAATAATATCGAGACAGAAAAATACACAAAAGTATTACTCGATTTTAAGGATTATAATAGATTTTCGCCAAAACATAGCCAGTCATTTTCCACTCACCGTCCTCAAGAAATATGGCCGGGCGGAAAAAGAAAGAAACTTGCAGAGAATTGTGGGTTATTAAAAGAACCAGCCAATGACAAGGGGCCTGTCCCCTGACGACCCGGAAACACTAACTCGGCCTGTCCTACGGGCAGCCATGGTGGCTGAGAAGTGAGCGTTTTATCTGATGTTATGTTGGGTTTATTATTCCTTTTGGATTCTGTGCTAACGATGTATATTCTGCAAATACAACGGTCCTGTGTCTTTACTTAGATTAATTAATTCATCCAAATACTAAAGATAATTTAATACGTTTCGTATTAATAACTATCTGTCTGTCTATCTATCAATATATCAATCATTAATTAAGTCGTTTGCACTGAGTGATGTTCATCATTTGTAATTATACCGATTCCTGAACTGCCACCAGCAAAACTCCCACGTTAGGGTTGCAAATGCCACTTGCCGCCGCTGCTGGTCTTCCTGTGACCGACTCAGTTTGTTATCGTATTGTTAAAAATCTGATGTTGCCTTTTTTCATTTAGCTGTTCTTATAAAGTCTATGTATATCTAAAGTGTTCCCGGTGGTATCGGCAGATACGTGCAGGAGACTTGCGTCACATTTCCTTATCAACTCTCAAAAAAGGGCACTGAGAATTTCATTCCGCTAGGTGCCGTTGCAGTGTACGATGACAGCTCTATTTCAGCCTGTTTAGCTTGTTTCCAATAATCGAAAAGAAATACACTTCATGCAATATGTTTATAAACAATTGTAGACATTTACTTGTATATAAACATATAATTCATTTTCTATAACGCCTGTGAGCAGACAGGCTCTTTGCTATTTTTATTTTACATATTTAAATTTATATAATGTGAATTACACGGTATAGGAATAAGGGTTTGCCGAAGGTTAAAAGTTAAATTGGCATGGGGAGTCGTATATCTGAGTAAATAATCTTTGAATTTTTAGTATGTTCTTTAATTATTATTATGATTATTATTAATAATAATCGTTAGAATTTTTAGAATGATCTTTATCATCCTTTGATCTTGGAAGAAGATCCTGACGTCAGGGATTCATTAATCATTGATGTCCATCATTTAAGCAGGACAGGGTAAAAGTCGAAGCCATGAATGTTAACTGAACATTTCACAAGGACTCTTCTTATTTTTGGAAGTATAGCTTGGTGTGCATTATATTTCATTGTGGATCAAGTAAACCCTGGATTTTATCCTAAAGCAAGATCAGATTATAAATGTTTCAAATTTAGAGTTTTGTGCATTATGACTTTTCTAGGCACATCATGAACCATTTTCAGCAAAATGCACTGAAATGAAGAGGAGCTGTACCATGCAGCTGTTCCTTGTTGCCCTACATGCACCATGGCCAGATCAGCCCTCACACTACTTTGGCACAAGTCTAACCAATCGAATGAAGCCTGTCTGTTTCCTCCTGCAATCTGGCTTGAAATGACTAGACACCCTCGTCACGTGACACTCTGCCTCTTCCCTGAACTGTGTTGCCTCCTTATTGGGAAGCTCATCTATGTCTCCCTTTATATAGATATCCAAAAGCTGAGCGTGAACTGTATGAGAAATACTCAAGGTAGACTAAATAAAAAGCCTAGAAAACACAAATGGTATAGATTAGATGAACTTTATTGATCCCTGAGGGAAGTTTAAGGTGGCAATTTAAGCAAATAAGTGGGATTAAACATTCCTGTTCTTAATTCCTGTCAAAATGACATTATTGATAACACCTTAATAACATGATATTAGATGAGGGGAACTCCCCAAAAACAGGCTTAAAGAACACTAGAGTCAAGTAGCTCTGACTCACAGGCTGGAAGAACTTAACAGTTGTGGGTTCAAATACCATGCCCTGCAGATTAATCATATTGCTCCTGGGCCCGTAACCCCAATTGCCCTGGGGATGTTTGTTGACCCTGTTTCCTTATCCTCACTTGGTTCTATTACAACAGCATATTTAATTAATTACCAATTACTTGAATTCCTGAAAGTGATCTGCACACAAAGACAGTAGTCATGCTTCCTTATTTCTAATGATCCCTAAAACCCCCATTTCTGTACCAGTAACTTGGAGGACACACACACACAGTGCTACAGGTATTGCAATATGGTGTGATGTTTGGTGGACTGGTCTAATGGAAATCTGTCATGCGTCTTGTGTCCTCTGACCCTGTGTGGATGTGTCTAGGGCTGATAATGTCCTGCCTCGGCCTTATTGCACATTGAAATTGGTAAGACCACTACCTAGTCATTAATCATTGATTAGCCTTGCTAACAAAAACTCTTATCATGCACAGCGGGCAAAGGTTTGCGATGTACAAGCCATATCTGAGGAAAGACAACAAATGCCGGCAGTCACCATGAGTGTTCCAATTTAAGTCGTCTGTCTTTTTGCCTACCTGCTTTGGCATTAATATTGTAAGACCAAACCTCTCTTGGGTTCACAGGTCATCTTTTAAATTTATATTACAACAAAGATAATTATACAAATACAGACGCTCCTCTACTTACGAACTTTCAACTTAAGAACTTTCAGACATACAAACGAAGAGTACTAGAAGTCCAAATTGGGCTCAATGGGCTCCCGTTTCCTGTCCGCAACATCTTTTTTTTTTTTCTGTGCACCAATTCCGCCTAGTACGACTTCTGGCCGCTACTCCTGCCGCAGCAGCGTAGTGTGTGTACTCCCAGCATCCTAGTTCTTTGTACTTGTGTATACCCTTAAAATGATGTTGAATAAGACTTATGATGAACATTTCAAATTACGAATGGCCATTCAGATCATATCCCATTCATAAGTAGAGGAGCGTCTGTACATATTCATACTATTGTTTTGCCACAAACTATAAAAGTATACTTGAAATTGTTAAGCTATTAACAGGCAATATTATAATTTACCAACATTAGTTTAGGAGCATTTTTTCAGAGTATTCCCATTCATGCTAATACTGTAACAGTTTAAAAACCAGTATCTAAAGACACAAACATTTTTCTTAAGTCACACATATGAATAACTTCCCAGACCTACTCCACCTATTTCCCTATTCCTGATATTCCACGTCATTCAGAAACATGCCCTGGCAGGTGAGATGCCAAGCTCACAGAGCCTCTTCTAGGTTAGGCCATCTGTACTATTTTCAAACAGTTACCAAAAGAGGTTTGTTTCTTTGTGTATGTGATGAGGTAGAACGATTATGACTCCACCCGAATTACCAGGCTTTGAAGTTGTCGAGTTTTTTCAGGACTGGTTGACATCACTACATTTTCCCTTGTATTTTCTGCCATTCCTTCTCTTTTACAGCATGAATGAACTCCTGGTATTTTTGCTGATGCAATGTAATGGCATTCCATCGAGGATCCGCCTCTGCCATATTCCCTATGCTACCTGGGGTAAATTACAGCACCCCCCCCCCAACCCTGTACAGGCTAAGTGGTTATAAGATCGTTGGAGACAGAGAAACTGCACAATCGCAATTGAGACATGAACAGTGTTTTGAGTTAAAATTTTGAATTTGGTGATCAGTGTTGACACACCACAGCACACAACAACGAAATGTGTCCTCTGCATTTAACCCATATGTGACATAGCAGGGGGCAGCTAATTCTAATTCAGCGCCCAGGGAGCAGTGCTTGGGGGCAGTAGCTTGCTCAGGGTACCTCAGTGGTGCCTTGCTGGTCGGGGATATGAACCAGCAATCTTTCAATTACAAGTGTGCTTCCCTAACCATTAAGACACCGCTGTTGATGTTTCCTTACAAAGTAGTGTGAATTTTGTCATTGCTATACTGGTTACTCTTGTCTTGGTAGGTCCCTCCCAGTGGATCGTCATAAACTGTTGCTTATTGTGACACCTCACTAGACACTTACTGCTGATGCAGGGCAGAAAGGCATCGGCCGAAAACCTTAACATGCTACAAACTGGGGAGGTGACTCAGAAACCACAGCCTGACATCTGCCAGTTGGCTGAGGCTGTTCAGAGTATTTCGAGCGGAAGGGTCATTGTGCTGACTTTACGGACTAATTGGTTTCCTTAGTTAGGCTATTGGCTGCTCAGTTTAGAAGACACTCCAGTCTTTAACAGCAGGGCCCAAAGAACCAGAGGCAATGATTCATTTTCTCTGGTACATACAGGCTTCTAAGCCAGGCATCAAAGTCTGGTATTTAATTACCATTTAATTCCTTAGGTGATGCTTTCTTGATTTACAATTTTTCCTAATTTATTAACCTAGACATTGTACTAGAGCAATTCAATGAAGCACCTTGCTCAAGCGTACAATAGCAGAGCTTATACTGGATTTTTAAGCTGCCACTATTTAAAAAAGGCTACGCTCATCTTCCAAAATTGTGACTATGCACTGTCAGGAAGAAAAAAAAAAAAGTACCAATTTGTACCTTTGCTTGTCACTGGGGCTGGACCCTCAAGGGTCTGCCAATTGTACCCTTGCTGTAGGCAATTGTATCTTTTAGTCTATTCTTTTAGGTACAGAAATTGACTCTTAGGAACATCCCCAAGGTACAAACAGCATTAATGTATCCCCAATTGTACAACATGTTCCTCAGAGTCCATTTATGTATCTTAAAAGGTACATTTACCCTTGAGGGTGCAGCCCCAATGACAAGCAAAGGCACAAATTGGTACACTTTTTTTCTGACAGTGTGTAAAGAAAGGCTCTGAAACACACCCTGACATTTCCTCCAAACATGAAGATTTTAATAGCAAATTTGAAAAAGTCCCTGCAGACTGCAGTGATCTGGCTGTAAGATTTCCAGCAGTGAGTGGAACACCTGTCACTGAACCAGCCTTACAATTAATTCTCTCCTAATCAAAGCTGCGAAACTGTAATTTAGATATTAGCATTACATCAAGAGCAGAGGGGGGGTTTCTCGGGAAATGTTTTGCTGGTGTTTCTCCTTAAAGAAAAGAGGTGGTGGTGCAGCTTCACTGGGTCGGTGGCCTTGGTAGGGTTAATGTGACAGAGTCCTGTGGATTAACTTAAGAGGAAGTTCAGCTTCCAGGAGTGCTACTCCGCCTCGGCAGACTTGACGAATTTCTCGTAGGCTCTCTCATCCATCAATGCGTCCACCTCTGCTGGGTTACTAATGGTCATTTTAATCAGCCATCCTAGTAGAGACATACAGGGATTAATATCAGGAAAATGCTAGGAGCGTGCCCCCCCCCCATACTCTCCACTTGCTGCGATTTGCTCACCATCCTTATAGCAGGATTTGTTGACAAGCGAAGGTTTGTCCCCCAGCTCTTGGTTTACTTCAGTCACCTCCCCGGTAACGGGGGCATACAGCTCACTGGCAGCCTTTACGCTCTCCAGAGCACCAAACTCCTCTATGACACAAGAAAAGAAAAACGCCAAAGAATACACAATGCCTTTTACACCAAGAGGAAGATTTTTACCCAAAAAATAAGATAACAAAGCAATAAAATGAGTAGAGAGGGTTTACCCATTTGTTCCAGTTTTGCACCAACTTCTGGGAGGCCACAATACACCACATCTCCTAGAGCTTCCTGAAACAGAGACGGAGGGGACAATTTTTAAATGCAATCACTAGTAAGTTTTTAGGTTCAGTGCAACCTAACTGAGCAGGGGCTAGTACTGCAAAGGTAGATTTCTGGTTTAACCGGATAACTTGTCAACCTTGTTTAAGGTATCCCCGTTTAAACGGACGTCATCTTTGTTCACTTACATTTACCCCAGACTACCTTAAATCTGACAAGCAAGAAATCCTGCTGCATGACACAGGCCCCAGGTTTCCTTGACTTACTTGTTTATTCTGCGGTCTAAAAAGAGGCTATATACATAAACACTTTGAGCTATAGATAGTGTGCCAGATAGCATTTGTTAGAATGTCTTTATGGATCCCTCACTCTCCAATATCCAGAAAATGATCTGATCTGTCCATGTGCACATATTTTTCGTGGTCCAATGACCTACTATACCATCCACACACAAGCGCAGCCAGTGAGCAAAATAAACAGAGAGACTAAGAGGGTGAGTCGGGTATGTAACCAGCCTACACACTCAAAGACGCCAAGGCACCTACCTGTGCAAAATTACTGATGCCAATAGTTCCGACGCCACCATCTACTCGTATCCACTCGTGTTTCTCTGTGAATCTGAGTACTGCGAAAAAGCATTGTTACCTGATACACACAATCCAAATTCACATTTGAAAGACATCCTAGAATACTGACCATAGGACACAGGATTAGAACTTTCAATCCCATAGCAGAATAACCAACTGAATAATAACACATGTATGAGCTAACAAGTATAATTCAAAAACTGCAATTACTTAAATTCAGGCAAAATGGATCCACTATATGCACTACGGTCATTACAGTAGTGTCTCTGCACAGTAAGATCAGAGTTTTGGGTAGAGTACAACATATCTAATGGAACAAAGGGCAAAGTATAGCAATGTACATTAATGAGCAACAAAGGACTGAGTCTTGTGTAACACAGATCCTGAGGTGCAATGTCAAGTAATACCATCACAAGCATAACTAGTGGCAGTTTCAAAAGTGCAGAATTTAATTCTTATAGTGAAACTTAAAAACAGGGCTAAATTCATTTTGTAAAGTCATATGCCATGATTATAAAATGTGAAATGGCCTGCAATTATGGGTACTTGTATCTTTCCAGTAAATCCTAACACATAGCTAAAACCATGGGAACATTAGCACTTCATTAAAATTCAATAAAAATTTTCCATACTTTTATTACAAAAAGTCAACAATTTTTATAATCAAAGACATTTTCATGTACGTTTTTATTTGCCCTAGAAGCCCAACTTTGTCACTTTAAGGCATGCAAAGGTATTAGCGAACCAGTGTATTCACATGGCATTAAAGAGTGCCGATGCCTCTACGATCCATTCTCTCTGCTGCTTTCATCACCATCAGAATTTATTTTAAAAACAGCAAAAATTGAAAATTTCACTTGCCTAAAACTAACCAAGAAACAATCTCCATGTCATAACAGGTGACATCTAGCCGACTAACTGGCATCAATGAGTTAAGAAGAATCAGGCAACCTTTAATGTAAGTCATCTTTACGATATGACGCGCCGCGATTATCACGACCCCGATCGTATTTTAGTCGTTTACAGAGCATAATGGCGTGTTCGTACAACTTTTACGGTAACCTCAAAACCACGACTAAACTGTTTATCGTATTCTTTTCACCATTTCCGCCTTCAACCCAGTTATAGTTAGCATAAATTACAAAATATACGTACTTAGTGCAATTCAAGCAAGCAGGTGCATTTCAATATTTAAAAGCAGCTATTAACTTTGGAAGTTACATCTTCTACCAGCGATGTCACTTATATCTCAGTCTTCTCATTTGAATGTATGAAGTTATACCAGTGCATTGCATGAGTTGTTTCGGAAGTTACCCGGCTTACTTGGTAAAAAGCGAACTCTCGACTGATCTCTGAAGTCAGTAGCACGTAGCGCGCGACATAAAAGCCCGGAGCGCGTAAAGTCTTACCTGCGGAGGGTCTGGGGGTCGTGCATAGCGCCCTCGGGAAACACGCCTTCCCCAGTATCAGGGGCCGAGCAGTCCTGGCAGTCCGGGAAAGCAGAGGCAGCGCCGAGGTGAAGTTCAGCGACGAAGAGCGCAGCAGCACCGCACACATCGCCATCTTCTTCGAGTCTAGGCTGAAGTGAGCTGCGGGCTCCTGAGCGAGCATCACCACTCGGGGCGCGACCGCGCACGGCGCCAGTGAGATCGCGGAGCGCCTGATCGCATTGAACGGCCTTGCAGCTTCATGGGTTTATGTTAACCTATTACAATAATGTATCCAGTTACGAAATTAAACCTAAATCACGTTTAACCTGAAACAGACAGAAAAACGATTCACCACAAAAATTTCAATTCATTTTTATTTTTTTAGTTTTGAAACTAATAACACAGGGCAGATCAGGTCTTTTTTCCATGACCACAGACTGTAGCTCACTGTGGGGAGGCCCAGACGGTCCCAAGGCAGCTGAGAGATACAATCCCTCCAGCATGACCTGGGTCTTCCCCGGGGCCTTCCTGAACCATCTCAGCTGTCTGCTCTTGATCCAAATGAGCAGCAGATCAATTTCAAGGTCCCTCTGGAACTCATTCTGTTATGGAGAGTGAGCTTAGCAACCCTGTGGACCCTCTTACCACATATATGTGTAGCATTGTTATTTTAGTCATTACCTACAGATCATGATTATAGATGAGGACAGGGACATTAATCAGCCAATAAAACCCTGATCCTCGTATGACGACTTAACTCTTGTTTCACCACTATGGTTCTTTTCAGTTTCTGAAAAACTGCAGTCACAACCAATCTGTAAGTCAATATTTTAGTCACTTTGATTCAATAACACTGCCTCCATTCACCAGCAAAATGAGTTCCTCAAAATGTTCTTTCTGCTGCTGGTAAGGGTCACCCGGCTTTTGGGGTGTTGAATTGTTTCTCAAAACATCTTTGGGGTCCACTGTAAGTCTCTTTCCATGATCCATCCAAACTTCAGACTTTTGCCTTTGCTGTAGCTTTCTGGGCAGTCAGTGCCATTCAGTTGTTCCTGGTAACCCCTGTATAAGCAATTCCCTGAAATCCTCCTTCTTAAGCTTGACAGTTTCCCTCACCTGGGTTTCCCACAATGACAGGCACAGACTGGCTTCTGGTCACAGCTCTTTGCATTCATTGCAATAAGTCCGGTGGTCCATGAACATGGGCCATTCTAACTCAATGATCTTGACATCCTTTGGCACATAGCAGCAGTTTTTCTATAGGTATGAGTTCATCTCACACAGAAACTGCATCCAGACCTAGCAAATCCTAACTCTCTACCTGGATCGTTCTGGCCAGCCTGCCCTAAATCTAGCTCACTACTAAGTGGTGACTGGGAGAGACCTCTATCTCTCTCTTCATCAAAGTTTCTGAGGAGCTCACCCACTTTTTCTAAAATGGCTGTTTGGTGCATGCACAACGAACAGTCAGAGTTTTCCTCTCTGCAACTCGAAATTGGCAAATCGCTCAGATCAGCAAAACATTATTATTATTATTATTATTATTATTGTTATTATTATTGCAGCATGGTGGTGCAGTGGTTAACACTGTTGCCTCTGGGACCTGGGTCTGAGTCTCTGCCAGGGTTCCATGTGTGTGGAGTTTGCATGTTCTTCACATGTTGTCATGGGGTTTCCTCCAGGTACTCTGGTTTCCCCCACAGTTCAAAAAACATGCTGAGGCTAATCAGAGTTACCAAATTGTGTGTGTGAGAGAGAGTGAATGGAACATAAGAACATAAGAGAGTGAATGGAGTGTGAGTGTGTCCTGTGATTGGTTCGTGCCCCATCCTGGGTTGTTCCCTGCCTTGCACCCGTAGCATCTGGGATAGGCCCTGTGATCCTGAATATGATAAAAGGCTTCAGGAAATGGATGTAATAATAATAACAAGGAGGAAGAAGCCAAAAGTTTACATTTTGTCCAAAAGATCAAAGCAGTTACTTTCTGCAAATTAGGCAGCACAGTGAGTGTGACATGGTGGTGCAGAGGTTAGAACTGCAGCCTTATAGCATGAAGCTCCTGGGTTTGATCCCCGGTCCTTTCTGTGTGGAGTTTGCATGCTCTCCCCATGTTTGTGTGGGTTTTAAAGGGCAGCATGTAGCTCAGTGGGCTAAGCCTATGTGCTTATAATCACAAGGTTACCAGTCGAAACCCAGCCTCTGTGGGTCCTAAAGCAAGGCTCTTAACCCCCAGCTCCCTGAGTGCCACTATGGGTGGCAGCCCTTTGTGGACAGTTTACTCTAAAAAGAGCAAGTTGAGATAAGTGTAAAGACAATTTCCCCACAGGGATAAATAAAGTATTGATTGTTAGTTTATAAGCTGGGGCATGAAATCCAGAGCCTGGTACTGCATCTTTGTCCTGTCAGCTCATAATTAATTCATACTTAAATGTAATCCAACTGCCTAGGGCAAATGCAATTATGTATATACTTATTTTATGCATTAAATGCATTATCTTACTTATCACATATAGAATTCATCAAGACTAATGAAATAAACAGGGCGTTTTGAGCTACAATTTACTCCAATCTGTCTGTGAAGGAAAAAAGGAGAGAAGGTGGAATTATCTGAATCCCAAAATAAATGCAAGAGCACAAGGTGAAAAGGAGTAAAGGTTTCCATGTGTGGGTAAGTGTGGCCATAAACTTGGAATTTGTCCTTCCCTGTGGCAGCATCAGTATCTTGGCTAAGATGGAGAACAGTGACTCCTACTCCTGTATAATCACATCATCTGTAATTTTATGGGATTAGATGCAGAGAAAATTTAGGAATTTGAGAAAACAGCCTTGCAGCTTCTGTCTTGTGCTGTTTAAGAGATACATGTAACATCTCAATTTGTGTGCTTTTCTTTGTGTGCAAATAACCATCGCTGAATGGAGTCATACTGTGGGCCCTCTTGCGAAGTTCGTGTATTCCGCTTTTCCAATCACTGTACAAAGCTGTGAGAAAAATTTTGCGGAATTATCTGGAATTCTGCCTAAATGGCTTCTAAAATGTGAGCAAATCTTCTTATCAGGCATAACAATAGGCACCTTATTTAACAAACAGCACACAGCATTTTCCGTTGGCATATTATTATTGAACAGATGGTTTAAAACTACAGGGCACTGATGGAAGAAAGTAGGTAAAGCCGTATATTACCTAATTGCTCTGTGGCCCAGCAGGACCTGGAACACATCCAAGAGAGAGATCAGTCCTGCTTTGTAAAGTTGTCGAGTAGCAATAAACTATGGAGCTACATTTCCATCTCCACAACATGACTGCCATTTCTGAAATAGCTTAAGACTAGCTGATTAGAAATGATTAAAAGATAAGATAAAAGAAAAATTAAGATATCAGAGCTGTCTCATACTCTTTAGACTCTGAGCCTCTTAGATTAACTATAGAGTGTAATATTTGAAAGGAGATTATTTTGTGACGGTCTGGCTTTCTGGACCAATCTGGGAAAAGACAGCATGGCACCCTGGTAGTGAGCCCATCGGGCCCTGAGAAGCACCTCCTAAGTCTGAAGCTGCAGACTTTCATCCATCCAGATGATGGCACTGTGGTAAAAAATCTGGAAGCAGTAGTTCTTGTACATGGCAGATTGTTCATGCCAGTCTAGTGCTTGGGAGATTGCTCAGCAACAATTCTTGCTGGGTCTCAGCCAGAAGCAGTCACCCAAAATGTTTTCAGAGGATGCCCTGTGAGACGCATTGTGAATGCATTGTGGGGGTGTAAGATGAGTGAAAATTTCAGTATTGGCATGAAGAAAAGTTCGGAAGGTGATTTTTGCCAGTAGTGGCTAGGAGTATTTAAGCAGTGAAAATTGAGGATTCTTCCTTTTTTCAAAACATTACGGTGTGTCTTACTATCACAACTGTTTAGAATTAGATGTTGAATTATAAATTACACTTTAACTAGTAGCTATATTAAAAACAATTTATTTATTTAATACCATTCCGTGCAAACAAAACATAAAAAACAATAGTATGTTTAAGCTTCTGAGACTGAAAGGAGACTATGATATGTCAGGTGATGCATGCCAATTAGAGTTTGTCTCAGATTAGTTCAGAGTTTGGCTGTGGCAGAGAATAGCCATGGAAACAAAATAGGCAAGAGTGAGTAATGAAGCAGAAAACGGCCGGCCGTTTTATATGCAGACACTCCCTGCATCTGGAGGAATTTCTACGACTAAAAATGAGAGCGAATTAGCCAACAGCTGAGATGTATTCTATTGTTGAAGTATAGCTATCAATACATAAATGGGATTTCTTTGTGTTCTTTGAATGTCTTTCACGCCGCGGAAGAAGTTTTAAGTATAGAGCACAACACTGTATTACCAACACGACCTATCCCATTTGTGGTTACAAGCCTGAATTTCTGGCCTTTAAAGTACCATAATGTTATAAAAGACCAGCTAAAGACTGTCATGAAATAGTTTAATCCCTCCATCAAACTCATGAAATAACCCTTGCAGTCAGTGCATTTTACTTTCCAAACAAGTGCACGTAATTTAACATTCGTGCATTAGTATCATGCCGGACTAAGAAGAGTACATTCAAAAATATAAGTATTATCCAGATATACTTCCTTTGCATAAAATGCTGTTCTATATAAATATTAAACTAAGAAAAAAATGCAAGATACATAAACACTTCCATACATGAGACCCTGCAGAAAATGCAGTATACATCTTTACGTGTGAGCATGCAGCATGATTATTGGTCCTGTTAGAGCACGTGATCCCTTACCGGTCTCCTGGTGCATTGTGGGATAGTGGAGGAGTGACAGTGCGCTACACCGGACGCTGTCTTTGCAAGTCTGTTGTCGCGATTATATTTAATTACAAAAAAATGCCAGAATTAGCTGTCGAAAAAGTTGTTGTCCACCCATTGGTGCTGCTTAGTGTGGTGGATCACTTTAACAGGTAATTTTCTGGGATTATTCATTGATAGTATAAATTAATCAAAATCTGTGGACTCATTGTTATATTGTAGGCCTGGGCATTTTCATTCGTGTTTTGCACATGATCAGTGAACGGTTCAAGATCGAGTAAACCAGTCAAACTAAACTGATATTGACAATTACATTTTACTAATAGATGTCATGCACAGTTCTCTTATTTGAAATAACTTATCTAATGTGTTTTACGATGTCGTTGAGTGGCTACAAAGCAGGTAATACTAA